CTCCTCGCGCCGCGATCCGTCTCCGGAAGAGCAGGGGGCGCGCCGAGCCCCGCCGTCGCCCGGCGCGCAGGACCCGGCCGGCGTCCTCGACGCGGCGCGGGTGCTGCTCGCGCCGGTCGCGAAGCGGCAGCGCGAGAAGGCGGAGCAGGCCGAGAGGGAGCGGGCGGGCGCGAAGAGCAAGGGCAAGAAGCCGCTCAACATCAACATCCCCCTGCACGGGCCCCGGGTGGAGATTGTGCTTGCGTGGATGGCGGCGGGGAGTTTGTACGAGCTCGACGGAGGCGCGCCGGCTTGATATGGCCCCTCGGGGTGCGCCTGGTTAGGACCCTCTGTGTTTTATGTGCTTGCACAACTTCCGAAGATCGCGGATTATGGAATAAGCTGCCTGTCGAGATGGCGAGCACGTGATTTGGCCTTCTGTGTGAGGCTCGCCGCTGAAGTGTTTTGACATCTTCGTCCTCGTCCACACTACTCTCCATTCGTCCCGCCCACCCTACCGTACACGTTCAACTGGAAACGCAGCACACGTACGTTATGAGATACCTACGAGAAGGACATCCCCAATCTGAGCGTTGAGGTGTGGTCTTCCTGTTTGGAACGCGAACGCGCCCAGCACTCAAATGATCGAGCTGGGTTTCGTCCTGTTTCGCTACCCGGTCACGGGCAGTTCTATACATTGGACACACGCAAAAGCGCGGAGGAACAACCTCGCACTCCCAAAGATCACGTCAAGATCTCCGACTAACCACGGTTCTCCGCGCTTCATGTCGCAACTAGTACTCTCAAGGAGACCCCGGCTTCACAAAACCCTGAGCACGTCGTAGCGAAATGGCGCCTTCACCCTCGACCCATTCTTCATTCCTACAGCTCTGATGGCATGCATTTTCGCTGCGCGTCGCCGAGTCGTACATATCCCAAAAGTATCACAATGTTGCAACTAAACTTGCGTGGTTACGTCCTACGACTGACGGTCGGAGGTAGACCGCGACTCCGGCTTCCCTCGAAATGTGATCATACGTTACAACGCCGGCTGGTTTCCGGCGAGATTCGGCATGGCCAAGCACAAGATCCACAACGACACTTCTACGAAACGTCCTGCTCAATGCACCGTTTCGTGCCACCGTCGCAACCGACTCGACCATGCTGGAGGACATCAGAGTTTGCGCCGGGAAATCATTGAATCCCGTCGCCACTCTTGAAGGCCAGCTCCGGCTGGTCAACGGCCCTTTGGTGCTTGGGTCCTCAGCCGAGCAACAACACGGCGCAGCGACGGTCCCGAAGAATCGATCCCTCACACCACCGTGTCGTCACCAAACTTCATCGTCCCCATTTCCGGTCCCGGTCCCGGTCGAGCATGCAGTCGGCGTATAGGGCACTGAGTCTTTGCAACGCGGCCTTGACGTCGATACGTTCATCATCCGTCCCAAAGCAGGGCCTAAAGCAGCCCTCGCCCCAGTCCACCTGGACGATGAAGTCCCCACCCCGCTCCCCCCATCACCCGGGCACCTCTCCCTTTTCGACGCGACGCCGAGGACACGCCCGACGACAAAACCGTCTCCGTCGACGACGAGCCCTCCCCCGTCCCCCGCCGCCCGCGCGTTCGGCTGACCGCGAGTCTCCTCAGCCAGACCGACGCTCTCTAAGCGCAGCGCGCCCGCGCCCGCGCTCCCGACGATCCCCGGCCCGTAGAACGCGATGCGGACGTGGTCCGAGCGTGCGGCAGGCGCGCCCCCGAGCTCCGAGGAGGAGGAGGAGGTGTTCGGCGGGCACGAGCGGGAGGAGGATGAGGAGTGCACGCGGCGGCTCACTGCTCACGGACGTCGTGCTCCAGAGTCGGCGCACGATGATCGCGGACGCGGCGATCGTGCTCGGCGTTCGATGCGGTCGCAGTGTACGGACGGAGCACGGGGGTGCCGGGAAGCAATGGGCATCCGCAGCACTTGATTGAGAGGAAGATGGGGCGCGTTCGTGGGGCGGGGAGGGTGTTGGATGGACTAATCCTGGCGCACGACTCATCGTTGGCTGGTCCCATCCCATTGTGTTACTACTGTACTTTAAAAAAAAGAACTGTAAAGCGGTTTTGGATGCTTTGTACTGTCGAGGGGGCCACAGACGTCCTCCCACGTGGCTTTGAGGTCCTCAAAGCTTTCTCCTGCAAGGTCGATGGTGGCTTTCAGAGGCGTCGTTTGATTAGATGGAATGACTCGCGCGGCGGTTTCTAGAACCCTCTTCAGTGCATCCATCAGGCGCTTCACCATCTTTGTCAACACATCTTCTGGGAGACCCGGCGGAGGGCACCATGGGAAGACCGTGGAATGTGTGCCAGGGAGTATGATTTTGACAGGCGCCGTCGAAGGAGAGGACGAACTCTGCTCAGTGATCACCTCCGCCAGAAGATAACAGCAGAAGCAGCTCATCTTGGTGACACCAATTGTGATTTCGTCGTGCTGGATGGGAGAGATGGGTGAACGGTCGGCCGCTGGCGAGCACTGTCACTTACTGTTAACACGGAATGTATTAGATCATGCGCCATCTGTGACAGCTCGATGCCACCCCTGTGCACCAACAGGACGTAGGCCATAAGCAGGGCCTCCGCATGCACTTTCGCTGTGGCAGACCCATCCTTCCAGAGCTGCTCCAGTGTAAACGGAAAGTCCCCAGGGATCGTAGGAAGACCGGGAAGGCGAGAGCGAGCAGGAAACGCCTTCTTCCACATCCCTTTGAGTTCTTCGAGAAGGTGTGAGTGTTGGGAAAACTCGAACTTCACAGGTGTGTCCTTCACACAGACCGCGTTCACCTCGACCGGGCACTTCCAGTGTTGTGAGCGTTGACGGGAAAATCTCAACAAGATTTCCATGACGGTGAGGGGGATGAAGAGATTTTTCAGATAACGGATGAATTGGTCCCCTGGTGACTCATCGGGGTCGGCAAACGCCTCTGCCACTAAACCGACTATCGTCAGCTCGGTCGGTGAACGTACGTCATGAAAAACACATACACTCGTCGTCGTCAGTAGACCCGATAGCGTCGGTCGCACCTGAGGGGTTTGTGAGTAAACTACAGCCTGTCAAACAGAGTATGCCAAAGACGTGTACTCCGCTGCGCGGCTCCCGCGCCGTTTGTTGTATTTCCAGAAACATTCTTCATGATCTCTGGAAGCAGATCAGACAAGTCCATCCACGAAACCACGGACTAGGCACTTACCTTCCACCTCGCATTTTTGTCGCTTAACCTTGAAGGCGTTCTCGCGCATGGCACGGAGGCCGGCAACAACTTCGGGACTGAGGAAGGCCTCGACGACGTAGCGGCAAGCAAGGACCTTGAGCAAGACGTGCATTGCATTGAACAAGGAGTTGTACTTTTCCGACAGGACAAAGCCGGAGAGCGACCTGTCCTTGTGCAGGTCGTTCAGAATTCTCCTCATGTGTCCCACGGAGTCCATCACCACCTTCGCCCACTGGCTCGCGTTTTCGTTCGTAACCGAGTATGTGAGTTCCGGGTCCGACGGGTTGGAGCCAGTTGGTGTGAGACCCGCTTTCTCCAGGTCGGGCTTCATGTCGCTGGAGAACGAGACGCTTCTCCCGGGAGGGATGCGCGTTGGCGGGGTGGAACAGAGGATGTGGTAGACGCGGGTCGTGGGGTGGTTCGAATTGAGGTCCGCCGGCTCGGCCTGTTCGCCCTTAGCCTCTTTAGCCAGCTTGCCCTTCCCCACCGGCGCGCCCTTGCGTAACTTGCTCTGCGTGCCCTGCTTGCTCGTGTCGCCCTTCTGAACCGGTTGGGCTCGTTCAACCTGCTTGCCCTTCTTCGACTTGCCCTTCTTCGGCGTGCCCTTCTTCGGCGTGCCCTTTTTGTCCGTCTCCATCTGCGCACCGTCCCCGCCCTGTGCAAACTCCTCGCCTTCGCTCTTCGCGTCCGGGCTCTTGGCCATCCACAGCCTGTCGCCGTTTTCAATGCGAGAAAGGATCTTGGAGTACGAACGTCCGACGATGAAGGTGAAGAGACAACGGTTGCTCAACATCACATTGCGATCTTCCGGGGGGGCGGAAAAGTACCGGATGACGTGGAGAACGTCTTGAATGCGGGTTTCAAAGTCCAATGTTCCTCTGTTGATGGTATTCAGTGGATGGGCTGGAGAGGTGAATGAAACGCACCTCTGGATCGAAACGAACGACTGGCCTAGAATGTCCCAGCCTGGTTTGGTGTTACAAGAACTAAACACTCGCGGCGAGGCGGCATCTTCACGCGAGTCGGTGTTCCGCGATATGAACACAGTTATGGCCCCCGCTTCCACGGTCCCCGAGACAGCCACCACCTCCTTGTGAGCGACCCGGTCTTCTGCTCCAACGCTGCCTAGGAGGAACGCAAGAGCATTACATACGTCGATGAGATGAATTTGAGCCTCTTTGAGCCGAGGGGACCGAGTGACGGCAGGGACGGCGTGGTGTAGCAGAGTTGAGATGATGATGATTTGCGATACAAGTTCAGGAAACGGAGCGGGAGCTGGTTCCATTGAGACTGGTATTATCGCAGTGATTGTAGAGGGAGGAATGTCACGTTGTGAATGGAAAGAAGATGAGTTGAACTCAGAGCCAAGGCTCGTTCGCGCACCGGTCCGGGACGTTCTGGGACGTTATCTTATCTTGCATGGAGGCCAATCTAGTATTGGCGTCTACCGCAGCGCGTCCAAGTGCTGTTTTCCTCGTCTGAGCGCTGCTGTATTCAGCCACCCTGCGAACCCCTCAGTTCTCTAGTCGCACAAACGGTTCCACCTTGCTCCTTCCCCTCGGTCTTGTCGTTGCGAGCGAGTGGCAGGTCTACCGCACGCTACACAAGTCTTGAATATCGAATTCAACCGCACGGATTCGGCGAAGAGCACGCGAGGATATGCAAGTCACAGCAGTCCCCACTCAATCATACGTCTGACTGATTTCCGGCGAGATTCAGCAGGGGTGGCCAAGTACAAGATCCATGACGACACTTGTCCTGCTCTATGTACCGTTTCATGCCGCCACGCTGCTCTCGATCATAGCCTGCACGAGAATGCCTGTCAGTACCGTGCGCCCCACTCTCGCACCTAGATTACACGCACCGCGAGGTCGCTGGCGTTCGCGCCGACAACCTCGTTGATCTTCTGGCCGCTCTTGAAGGCGATGAACGTGGGCAACTGATCATCGGCGATGCGCGTCATGAGGGACACCGGAGACGCCGCGTAAGGAAGAGAAAACACGCACCGCACGGATGCCGACCTCCTCCGCGACATCCGCCGCCTCGTCGATGTTGACCTTGTAGAACTTGGCGCCCCCATCCTGGCCGGCGAGCTTCTCGAAAATGGGCGAGATGAACCTGCACGGGCCGCACCAGGTCGCCCAGAAGTCGAAAATAGCAACGGTGTCGCCGTTGATCTGCGTGTGACCTGATCAGCCTCGAGTGCGTGGCCGAGATCAGCTGGGGAAGCCACTTACGATGTCCTTGAACTCTTGAAGGTCCTTTACGGGTTGAACCATGGCCATAGTCGGATGCGGGAGGGGTAGGAAGGTGTGGGTGCTGTGGGTGTAACAGATACGGCGCGGCCTTCAAGCGGGGCCGTCCGGCTTTATTGGACGGCGAGCAGCAGAGGGGATTGCATTCCTCTCCGGATCCCTGATCGGCCGCAGGACTGGCCTTACGTCCAGTGCACGCGTCGACAGCTGGGGTGCGCATGTCTTGACATGTCGCCAACGGTCGGCGGAATGGAAGTCCTCGCAGGCATACAACCTGCAGGAATTGATGCATGATGTGGAGAAGCTGGTGGGCAGAACGGGGCTCCGCGCTGGGAGCGCTCTGCCGCAATCAGCTCTCTCCAGAGTTAGCCTTCCCAACGGGAACAGTCGGAGGACTCACCTCCCGGCCTGGTGGACGTAATGAGAACAACCTGCACCAAGTATCAGTGAGCCCCGCTCCACGCTGAGGCGCGTACCGGCGCCGTGGGGGTGGTGGTCTGGCAGTTCGACGGACTACTCCAGTGGAGCCTCGAGCACCTGAGGAAACACTCAGATGAGCTTGACGCCTGAACCGAGGGTGAGCTGAAGTCACGTCCCGAAGAAGCGATGGTGGACTCGGAAAATCGCACCGCAGTCGTTCACGGATGGAGCCCTGTATCCAAAGCTGCGCTGCCATAGATGGTGGCGCGAGGCTTAATCGTCCAGCCGCTTTCGTGTCCGCCGCTTTCGTGTCCGTGGTTGCGTGCCGAATGCCCTGGGATGGACGAACGGAGACGCGTAGGCGTCGGATGGGACGGGCGAGTGGGCGAAGGCGCGGAAGCGACGGCCAACCTACCTACCTACGGTAGTGAACGAACGCTCGCTCGCGCATGCGAAGTACCTCTTGCGGTCCAACTGGAGTCCGATTGGGCAAAGCAGTACCGCGAGCAGAGCGCATACGCGGGGAAGCACTTTCTGAGACTGCGACTGTTTGACTCACCTAAGTACACCGCGAACGCTGCGCTCGAGGCACACGGACACTCTAAAACGAGGATGGCGCGGTTCTGTTGCCGCGTTGTACTCAACCACGAGCCTGCCATGACAGGATCGAGTCAAGTCACGACCAGTCCCGCGGAGAAGGTGTTCGCGGCGCGGCAAGGAGTGGAGCCAGCACTCAGGGAGAGTACATCCATCCCACTTTTCGGCTATACAAGACGCTAAAGCCCGGTTGTGCGAGAAGATGGGTGTGTGGGGGGAAAGAGGAGTACTTGAAGTTGGATGTTCGCCGCTGTGCTCCTCGAGCGCCCGTAGCGACGGCTTGGGCGTCGGCGCTCTCTTGAACCTGAACGACTCACCATCACTTGTCCTTCGCTCTTTTGCAAGTTCTCTCGCACATGTCCTCATACCGCTCCTTATCGATTTTTGGTCAACTTCAAAATGCGCGTCATTGTCGATGATGATTTGATGACCGTGAGCAGCACCTCAGTCTCCGGCGGACTTACTACAACCCCGACGCGACCCATAGCATATGGGACCCGCACTGGGTGCCAGGTTATCTGATCGTTCTTGAAGATGAAGCGTTGGTTCGGCTGGAGCAAGAGGCCGATGCAAGTGGCGCCAGTGGGACCACATGAACTACCGAGGAGCGACGACGAAGGCCACGGTGGTGGTGCCAGGTGAGCGCTCTCAGTAACACAACACGAGCGATGGACTTTGAGCTGCTCCTCTTGTCGGGGGGCTTAAAACCACGAGCCGGCCTGCCGCAGGTCTGCTAGTGACATAGCGCTGGTTGTCCTCTGGGTCGTCCAAGCCAGCGCTAGAGCAGGAAGCAGGCAGTAGAAACAGTAGTGTACGATGCGACGCTGGCATGCTTTCGCCCGGGTCCGCCAATTTCCATCATTTGTTTCGAATTTCCTGCGTCGCTCGCGTCAGGTCGTGCACGCGCGGTGGGACTTTCCCGAATTTCTCCAATTTTCAGAGCATTCGTGCTTGTTCCTGCTCTCGTGCATACATAGCGTTGGAGTCGATCGGACGATCATTTCGGAAACAGCTATGATTTGTAAACCCCCAGTACCAGGGCTCCGGACAACAGCTCGCTCTCTTCAATATAATCCTCCCATCATGCCGCGCTCCCCTCGACCTGCTCCCCAGGTCCGGCAAATCGGGCCACCCCAAGATTCTACCTCGTCCCAACCCCCAACCTCCATGGCCGAACGTTTGATTCGAGTTCAATGGGGCTCTCGCGCAGTGGGGTTCCGCCACGACGACGTCAAGGTACGCAGTTTTCCCTCACAATCTTGCGCCAGCTGTTTCATTCCAGACGAAACACCAGTCCATCATTACGAAGGCAAAGAAGCACTTCGAACTACCTCCGCAGGATTCGTACGCGCTCTCTGGTAACATCAATGGCGCCCAGATGGAATTATCCGACGACATCATGAGTCTCTTGCCTCCTGGGGAGACTGTCCTACTTGAGAAGCTCGAGTGTAAATCCGATGGACCTCCGTGAGTATTCTGTCAAACTGTCTTCAGTGGCCCATGATCCATGAACGTCTCCGTCCATCAACACAGTAGTCCAATTCCAGATCTGGATGAACGTGCATCGTCCGAACAGAGTTGTGTAAGCAAGCTTTTCGTGCATGGGTACGTTCCTTTTAGTCATTGGAAGGCCGCTGCTGTGCGCATGGCTAATGTAAGGACAGGTTAAAAGGGGAAACTTTCACAATCCGCAACGTTTCAACTCTTGCCGACGTGGAGAGGCGCCTTATGAAAGAAGGCATTTCATGCGATGGCATGAGGCTGACATATTGCGGCCAACGGCTCGAAGACAGACATCCACTGTCGTTCTATGGCATACGAAAAGACTCCACCCTTGATTTGATCCTCCCTCAAAAGGGCGCACAGCCTGTCATTTACCTCTCACCCCCATATCTAAACCCCATACCAGTCGTCGACGTCTCCGTCCTCCTCGTCCCCCAATGGCGCTTTTCCCAAAGTTATCCCCTCGCCGACACCAAGCTGATCGCCGACTCCGGGAAAGAACGCGTCGCCTGGTCCGTCTCCGCCCGCCACGACGGCACCCTCGTCGAGCTCTCCTCCGGCCTCGAGCTCCCCTACCTCTTCTGGGCGGCCGAGCCGCGCCACGGCGTCCCCTCCTCCCCGCCCCCTCACCCGCGGCGCGCCTTCGTCGAGCACTTCGACCCCGCCGCCCCCACGCTCGACCGGACCAACGCGGTCTGCCTCCCCTTCGCCGAGCTCCTCCCGTACCTCGACCGCGCGCTCACGCGCCTCGCGCTGCACGCCGCCGCACGCAGCGACTTCGTCACCCACCTGCTCCCGCGGCTCTCGAAGGCGCCGTTCGTCGCGCTGCGCTTCCTCCCGCAGGCGGCGTACGGAGCTGCGCGTCGAGCCCGCGCCGGACGTCGTCACGCGCGTGTTCATGCTCTTCCGCGGCGTCCCGGAGGCGGAGGCGGAGGCGGTCGAGTGGACGGACGCGCGCAGGGGCGCGATGGACGGGGGCATAGACTGGGCGGAGGTGGTCGATGTGCTGCATGAGGCGACTGGCGGGGGCGCGTTCAGGGTGCTGGAGTGGGGTGCGATGGAGGTCCTGTGAGCGGTCTGGGATGGCGAGCGCGCTCGCGTGATGTATGCGCCACGATTTGCTCAAGTGTCGGTCCGACCGTGTAGCATAAGCCATGATTCATTTCGTTTCGTGTCGGTGCGCATCGATACCGACAGCCGGGCGGCAGAGACGACCGAGTGCGGGAGCAGCCTGATCCCCACCACCGACTTGAGCTTGGGCTCCGCCCGTCTGCTGGCGCTGTCTGAGGAAGAGACACTTGCACGGAAAGGAGATAGAGAAGACAACGCACAGCCTCAGGAAGCTCACACCAGGCACTCAGCTCTCACCAGATACAAGTAATAAGGCATTGATACAATTGCGTCATGATGGTCGTGAAGGCATGCAACAGCTATGGAGGGTGGCAAGAAACTACTCGAACCGTGGAGGGCAGGAAAGCAAAAATACAGAGGACAGAGCACGCGCGCGATGCAGGTATATGCGTGCGTCATAGTCTAGGGAGTCACCATCTGGTATCGTACAGTCATTAACGGTAGGAAGGGCCCGTCGTGGTCGTCGCTTTCGTGCATTTAATGTGTCGTCATATATGAAGGATCGGAAGACGGGGATGAGGGGAGAGAGACGATGAGCACGAGAACGAGCAGCGTCCGGGGAGACAAGAAGGTCGGGGCGCGATTATAAGTCCAATACAACGCCTGCACAAGCCACGCACCATGAAGCCCCCCGTAAGTCTCCACCACTCCCAACTAATCCTTGCCCACGCGCCCCAAGAGCTCTGACAACCGCCCCGCCGCGATACTGTGCCTCTTCGGACTTTCCACACGCACGCGCATGTGCGAGGCTGAGTGGGCCAAGTCGCCTTTGCCGAGGACGAGAGAGAATCGGTTGTGCATGCTCGAGCCGTGCCCGTGCCCGCGCCCTTGTGCGGCGGGGCGCGCCGTGACCGGGTTCGTTTGCAGCGCGACGGCGGGGAGCGAGAAACGCTTGTTCCTGCGGGCGGTGTTCTCCTTCTCCTTCTCCTTCTCCTTGCGCGGTGTCGGTGTGATGCTCGTCCTTCCGTCCACACCGTCGTCGTCCGCTACAAGCGTCTCCCCACCCATCGACGCTGCGAGGGTTTCGCCGCCCATGGATGCCGCCAGCGCATCCTCTTCACGCTCGTCCGGCACACCGTGGGTCTCGTCCAATACGGAGTGGGTGCTGAACCGCGAGGCACGTGGTGAGCGGGTCGGGGAGCCTGCACGCTCCTGGAAGTCTTCCAAGATCTGGATGTAGCTCTTCGGCCTTGCAGCGGACTTCATGCGCACCGGAACGGCCGGCGGGGAAAGGGGGGCGTCGCCATCGGGCTCGAGCTCGTCGTCCTCATCGTATCTGGGGAACGATCGGTCGAGGTCGATGGCCATGAGTGCCGACGCGGAGTGAGACACGCCGCCGCCTTCAGCGGCCAGCAGGAGACAAGGCATGGACTTGAGGCCGGAGAGTGTGAAGTGGCCGTGCATGGTCCCAGCGGTGACGATTACATGGGGTTCCGAAGGCTGCTCAACGAGGGGGAAGACGGTGTCATAGCACGAGTCGCACGCGCGGGCAGACTTTGAGTCTTTGTCTGAGTCGACAATGAAGAACGTCTATATTGCAGAGGGATTGAATGGAGAGAACAGAGTGGGAAAACGAAAATACGCACCTTGCCCGAGCAGCCGCCACACACGCAACGCCCGCAAAGGCGACAGTGATGCCTCCGTCTCCTCCATCCAAAGGTCCTCCCACACCGCATGCAGCTCTCTGTCTTCCCATCTGGAACCCAAACCGCGGGCACGAAGTGCTCAACCCTGCCTCGCTTCGGCTTGGTGTCATCCTCAGGCGCATACGGCAAGGCCTGTAGTGTTCTCCGTAGGTGGTTTGTCGATGCCGACGACGTCAACGTCGAGTTGAGCTGCATCACGCTCAACGACACGAGCAACGACGCCTTTGCATTCCGGATCGCGGTCACCCACTCATCTCGCTCTTCCTCGTTCGCTGTCGCGGCGGAAGGAAAAAGACCAGTCAGCGCTTCCGACACCCGCATCAGCAATGACGTCAACGTCTCACCTCCGTACACCGCGAACGACCGATGCGGGCTCAACAAGTCGAAACCATACTCAAGTCCGTCCCCAGCACAGGTCGTGCTGACCACGACTTCAATGTCGACGAGCTCGACATGACCTCGGTAAACCCAGCGCTCGTCGACGCCGGTACTGGCTTGCCGCTTCTTCCGTGGGCTGCCATTCAGCTTCAGTTGAAGAATGGACTGTCGGCGGCGCATGGCGTCTGCTTCGTGGTGCACATCACTACGAGTGCGCGAGCGGGGGCGGTCGTTGCCAGTCGCCAGATTGAACACATCGACGGTGGGTGAAGTGGAGAGCGCAGCCCATTTGTCGGAGAAGCCTTCGCCGTCGGCGCTGGAAAGCCAAATGAGGCAGTCGGAAAAGAGGAGGAATTCGCGCTCGCGCGGAGACGAGCCTTCGAGCTGGAGAAGAGGAGCGCGCCGGAGGAAGGTACGGCCGGGGGAGATGAGCTGGAAGGGGAGGTTCGAGGTGTTGCGTTGGAGAGCCAGAAGCGAAAGGGTCTGGGCGTGGGTATGCAATGATGTGTTCAGAGACATGGTGACTAAACCGCATAACGGTCAGCTCTCCGATGGTCTGTGGAGCAGTACCCAGATGCCGGAAGAGACTGAGAACTCACTCTTCGACACAAGTGTATGCACCGCCGTCAACGACTGATACTCCGGATCTTCTTGATCGGTGCAGCTGATCATGTCCTTAAGGAGAAGCAGATACCGTGGACACCGTTGAACGATGGTCAACAACCAGTCCCTAAACTTGAGTCTCCCGCACTTCGGATCCGCCTCCTTCTCCGCAATGAACGCAGAGAATGCCGAGTTATTTCGCAACAGAGCTGCATATGACGCAAGCGCATCAGAGAAGGAGCTGACGAAGGGTGTGTACAGCGAAAGGTAGGGGAAGTGGGCCAGAAGCACAGGTGATAGCGGGGGAGGAGCATAGTGAGCACGAGTGTCGGCGGATGCATTGAGGAAGTCGGTGAGAGCAGCGTAGAAGGAGCGGTGTAAATTCCAGATGTCGATGAAGTTGGAGAAGATGGAGGTGAGTTCCGCACGGGTGAGCAGCGGCTGGGAGCCGTCGAGCGAGGCAATGATGGGAGTGAGGAAGTGCTGGGTATATGCGCAATTCGCACGTCAGGACGCCATCGTACGACGGGACCATGATAAATCACGGTACGTACCGAGTGGATGAGCTCGAGCCCGTCGAGGTAGGACCTCTCCGTCTCGTAGAACTCGGTGATGACCTTGCGCCGCTTCGCCTCGCGCTGGTCGTCGATGACTCGACTCTCCCTCCTGCGTACTCCTCGGCGCACCGGATCCAGCTGGGAGGTTGAGGGACGTGACTTAGGCCCGTGGACAGCATTCCGAATGACGACTGGAGTCACGGGCACGGGCCCAAGCAGGGGACGGGGTTCGGGGAGGGAGTCGAACGAAGCGGTTGAAACAATCGACTGGCGGTGGATGAGATTGGGTGCAGAAGGTAGAGAGATGCGGCGGAAGGGGAGATATGTCGACCGCTGCTGGGCGAGGTCGAGGGCAGATGGGCTCGGTGCAATGTGGATGTCGGGGCCAGAGGACGGGAAGTCGACCATGCCGGCCGGGGACGAGGACACTGCAATGAGTGAGAAGAGAGCAGCCCGACTGGCAGAAATTACGCACGGCGGTGAGCCATATTTGATCCTCAGCCGAAACGCAGCAGAGACTGGCGGGGGTCTGGACGTCGAGGTCAAACCCGCGTCCGCCGCCACCGTCGTCAGCCACATTCCCAAGCGCTGCCCAATTCGGCATGCCGTTCATCCGGTCAGCCCGGCCAGACCACAGCGGACCACTCGCTCAAACCCCTCTACCACTCGTTCAATGTTTCAGACCATGCGAAATCCTCTCAACATCGTTCATCCATCCGAGTCGGAAGCTTTTCTGCGGTCGCCTGCCATGCATTCGGAACGAAAGCAACACGCCGCTCAAGACCCACTTCATGATTACACGTTCTGGTACATGACGAGCATATAAGAGTGGAGACGCATTGGAGACGCATTCACAGTAGACGCAAATCTGAGAGGTTTCGAAGGACCATGATCGGCGGAGGTGCGAATATGGGCTTGAGCTGAGGGCTATACCCGTCTCGGCAGACAGAGTCGAAGGCCGTCGTGACTCGGTCAGGATTCGACGAAGGCTCGGAGTTTCTTGGAATCGGGTTCGGAATGATTCAACGGCGAAGTGATCCGCGAGGTGCGGTCGGACGCCTAAACCCGCATGCATGTTCTGATCGTGACAACCACTGGACGCAATCAAGCCTTTATGTCGCCGACCAGGACAAGCGGCTTCAGCTGTGACAATCAACAGTGGACGTCATCTGGAATCCTTGCGGAATCCTAGTTTGCTATGAGCATACCGCTTTGAAATTGAAATTGGGTAGACACGAAGCGTACCCTACACCGTGTACATGTCGTTATTGGAGGCTACAAAAACATCGGACAGGAGTCCCGCACCCAGTACATATGTTGTTATGTTGTTGTGGGCGACTAGGCGGATGAGCGAGCCCGACCTCCAATATGCAATCGAGATGATGTCAGATGTGATAGGATACTCAGCAGGGCCGCCAGAGCCATGGCCAACTCTTCTTATCGTAGACCGAGTTAGAATCGGCGTTGGTAAACTCCAGCCAGTGGGCGTAGAGGAAGGCGCCAAAGTCGGATGCACAAGTATAGTGTTGCCCTTCCGAACTGCAGAGATAGTGGAGAAGAGGATGAGGACATTTCTTGGGTTGGCCGTGCCACTCACCCAGGACGATTTTCAGGTTTCGAGGGGGCCCGGAAGAGCGCGGGCGTGATCCTTGAGAACAGGAATACGTCACATACTCGGATTTGGGGACAGCGTGCACGACTGCTCCTCTCAATTCCTGATAGTGAAATCCAATTACTGGCACGGTGGCGAAATAGAGCAGAAAACAGCTTGATGGTTTGGGGGTCTCTATTTTATATCCGGGAAACCAGGCCTACTCTCGATCCTCTTCTGTAAGAAGGTGCGGCGAGGTCATGATTGGGTCCACGCATTGACTTCCAAGGGAAGTCACGGTGGAACTTGAAGATGGTGACCAGTAGCAGAAGATAGGTGCTACTCGTTGCGCTAATGCAGTCCGGCATAATACCTTGCAAGATTACCCACGAGACGAAGGGAGGAGATGGTAGGAAAATGCAGAGATGGGGCACCGCACGTTTGGCGCCGCTGCGGACTTCGCTCCAGAGTCTGGGCGCTTCTGATACGGGCGCTCAGAGGGCAACATCTTACGCTGATTTGAACGGCAGCTTCAGTCAAGACTATCCACCCGTTCAGGGGCTCTAGTTTCATGCTACATGTCGTAATATACAACAAACAAGTACCGGGGCTTAGGCCCAAGTGACGGTCGTCTCCTCGTTCAGGTCGATCTCTGCGTTCATCACGACCAGCTTCTCCACTCCCTCGACATACTCCCAGTCTCCCGCAGGGACCTCCCTCCCGTTGATTTGTACCGCCGCTGGCGACGTCGCCCCGACGCCGAGGACTGTGACCGTCTCGAGCTTTTGCGCGACGTGGAAGTTACCCGCGACCGTGACCGTAACCTTGCCCTTGCTCGCCACAAACTTGATCGTCGAGTTAGGTGTGGGAGGCATCGTGTCTCCGTCGTCGACGTATGCCGTCCCGAAAGCGTATCCGTCCTTATCCTGGCTCACGAGAAGCGCGTACGGGCCGGCCGCAGTTTCCGCGGTCGTGTATCCGGGCTCCGCGTGCAGGAGGATCGCGGCGCCGTCCCGGACGTGGACGTTGATGTGTCCGAGGGGAGCGTCGAGCGTGACCGGAGACCCGTCGGTGAGGACGGCTATCGACGCGTGGGTGTACCAGTCGCGCCAGGTGACCGTGCCGCGCCCGGGGAAGGTGCCGGCAACGGTGGAGGCGTTCGGGGTGAGCACTGGGGTGACAAGGATGTCGCGACCGAGGAGGAACTGTTGGTCGATGGGGAAGAGCTCGGGCTCGTCGGGGAACTCAAAGAAAAGGGCGCGGACGGGGGCAGAGCCAAAGGTCGAGGAGTTGGCGAAGAGGGTGTACTGCAAGGGGTGAGTTAGTGGATCTGTGGAGGGGAAGGGAGGAAGAACGACGTACCCAGTACGGAAGCATGCTGTACCGCGTGGTGATCGCGCTGCGTGACGCACTCGCCACGCTGTCCCATACGTACGGCTCCTGCGGGATGCCGCCGAGGATGTTGTGGTTCCGGTAGAAGGGTAGGAACGCGCTCAGCTGCATCCACCTGCCGCACAGTTCCTCATCCGAATTGCCTTCGAAGCCACAGGTGTCCGCTCCAACCATCGGAATCTGGAAGAGCTGGAACTGCAGCACGCCTTGGATGCTGTAGTGCATGTAGGACCACTTGGAGAAGTTGTCCCCGAGCCAGTGGCCTGTCCACTTGCCAGACCCTGCGAAGGTGGAGCGGGAGATAATGAAGGGCCGCTTGTTGTCGCGGATCTTGAGCAGCGCGCCGTGCGTCACCTTCTCTTCCATGAGGCCCCAGAGGTTGTGCACGTCGAGTTCTGAGATGCCGTTGGCATGCATAGCGAAAGGTGCGACAGTCTTGAAACCGAGCTCGCCGTATGCTATGAAGTCGTACGTTAGTATTTCGCATAAACAGACGGACGGTGTGACACTGACCATTGTGGATCGCGTAGGGCGGAGCGCTCAGGTCGATCTCCGGCCCATCGTCCAGAGCGCGTCTGTACATCGGGGGTCGGACTTTCGGGTCATATGTGAGCTTGCCGTTTATCGTGATATTTCCACTTTCCCCCCATACGCTCGCATCGTATCTGAAGGTACGAGGTCAGCGTGGCAGATCGTAGTAGAATATCCTCGAAACATACCCCTCAGGCCAGTGCTTCACAGGGTTTCCAGGAGTTCCGGGAAGGCTGAAAGGTACAGACGTGTCCGACCAGTCGGCATTTGAACCACTGCAGGAATCATGAGCAAACACAGGGACAGGAAGCATGTGGGGGCATACCAAGAACCACTACAGAACGATGCGATCTCATTCATGTCGAGCCAGATTCCTGAAAACTCCACGCCAGACTTGGACCAGTTGGTCAGAGCATCAGTCCAGAAAGATGCCGCATTGTTGGAGAACCAATCCGGGAAGACCTAAGACAGTTATGAGCACGACATTTCACATAGGAAAATATCACACGCATACAGTGTATCCTGGCCAAACTTGTCCAACGTATTCAGTGCCGTTAGGGTTCTTGATCCAGACATCACTAAACAGATTTGTGAGTGGGTGGAAACGGCGCACATATTTTGCTTGTGACTTACAGCTCAGTCCCACGCGTGTATGGGTCGTACTGAAAGGACGCGGTGAGTGATTTAATCAGGATTCGGGATGACCTTACTCACAACATCCGTCTTGTTGGTCTGGTGTGCAACAGCCGCATCGACGATAGGAATGTAGTACTGATGATTCGAGCCCTGCAGTACCCCTAAGCATGTATTAAAACTACGCGGACGACGAGAGTCGCTCACCAGTTCACGGATGAACGTCCGAACCTCCTCCGCGTTGAAGCTCACCGGGTCCGCCGTGAAGTCCCGGTAGTCATGGTAGAGATCGATGTCGTTCCACATCACCTCGAGCGGGACGTTCGCGTCGCGCATACGCTGCACTTGGTCGCGTGTCTCCGCGATGGACATGTAGCCCCAGCGGCATAGGTGGAAGCCGAAGCCCCACAGCGGCTGCCATGTCGGAAGGCCGATAAGGGCGCCGTATTGTCGGATGACTTCCTGCGGACCTGGACCAGAAAGGAAGTAGAAGTCGAGGTTGCCACCAAGGATGCGGTACTGGAGGAGGGAGACAGATGATGAAGGAGGGGTAAGAAGGAGGGTGTCGGAACCAGCAGAGCTATACACTCCACTAAGCTTATATGCGCGTCAACATGGGAAATGACTACGTACTTGAACAAGAATACACCGTGCGACTTGGACTTCTTCGTCTTCTCGTCGTAACGGTGCTCCATATAGATGGGGTGGGAGCCATAGCTAATGGAGAACATAGGAGGTGAGCTCTGAGATATCAGAGACGTCAAAGTAGACTCACATGTTTTCGTCTTCGGGGTCGGCGGCGTCGCGAGCCCACATGGTTTGAATTGTCCCTTCACCTCCATGTGCGCCCGTGTCACGACGGAATCCATTTGTTGCAACGACCTCCCCCAAACCATAGATGTTCGTGTCAAGGGGGAGCGCAGACGTGAGCTGCAAGTACCGGTCCTCAAACACAAGAGGGAAGCCATTGAGTGCAGTGCGCTTGTCGGACGGGATGATCGGGGCGATGGGAGTCTTCGGAAGAGAAGAGGCGCGGGTGTCGAAGAGCGGGGCACTATCCGGTTCGGAGCGTCGTGTGATCCAGAAAGCGAAGGGGGAAGCCTCGTAGTTAAAGACGAGATCCGAGTTTTGCTTGAGAGATGGTTCGCGAGAGCCTTGATCTACGTCTATGACTGAGGAAGGTATCGCAAACTGCGAGCGGGCCTTGTCGTAGATATTAACGTGCAACCTATGTAAGTCAGGGGATCAGCGTTGGAAGATGCCGTAACGAATTCTCGGTACGTGCCTGTCCTGTGTCTCGTAAGTAACTTCTAGGATTAGAGTTTCAATATCATGACCGTATGCGTTGCACGCCGGTCCGGCGAGGTCTAAGCGGGCATGAATACCGGTGTCGGTTTCATGAAATGCAGATAACGCGAGTTCGTATCCTGAGAGCAGAGGTCGTCATTAGTACCGCGTCTGCAAGCTCCCACTAGTATGCAAAAGCGAACTGCCCAAAGGCCAGTGTCAGATTAAGACTTCGCTTAACGCTATTCCCTCGTCTCGTGAAGTCACGGCGGGGGCTCTGACTTTGCTCGGCCTGACAAGATTTCACGGGTCTCGGAGGGGAACCCTGCCGACCCGCCTGCGCTGCGCACAGATTCCGGGCCGTATGTCCGACCATGTGGACCCAATACCCCACAGAACCTCCTCTGGGAAACCGCGGGAGTGAAAACAGCGACGAACCTGGGCACGATGAGACGTTGCGCGAGAACGCTGCGCGCACTTCTCCGTCGTACACGATGTTTCCAGCTTCTGACCACCAAGCTTTGAGCATCGGGACCTGGTCCTTGCCCACGTAGAGGGAGGCGCCCAACGCCAGCGCACCAGCGAAGAAGCTGGCGGCCATAGTGAAGATGAGGGCGCGGAGGAGACGGTGGAGGGTGCGGAGGTTGCGGTGCGAGACTGGTCGGCGGGCTTTATAGGGGCCGTCGGCTTCGGCATCGAGCGTTAGGCTCAGCATCCTCGCGAAGACCTGTCTGAGCCAGTGACGAGAAGGTCGGTCCGCGAAGGGAGGAGATTGGCCTGCCGGGGAGAACGTGGGGAGGGGAGGGGGTCAGATGCGCCCTCGTAGTGTCGATTTAGCTGCGCTCGAGGACGGTGTGGGTGAGGCTGTTTACGTCTCGACACCGGCGGTTAGCTGCGCACGCGCCTTGACGCATCATGAGAAACGGATTGGCAATGGACGGTTCCAAAGAACGCGGGGAGAAAGGCGCTGCCGTGCAACGTTGAGACACGGAGGTGTGGGTATGTAATGCCTGAAGCGAGTGGCCAGCGCTGTGGGGAGGGTTCGACATGAGGGGAGAAGAGAAGGCAGATCGCCGACCGACGCACACTCGAACGTGTTCACTGTTGTGGTGTCGGGCACTCTTCTCTCAGTCGAAGTCCTCTCATCTGCCGTCTTGTTCGACTCTCAGAAGCACAACTCATGCGGTCAACAGTGAAAGGGCACCCTCATTACGACATGTTGGGATAAGAAGGGGTGGATGTGTATAGCATGACTGTAAGATATAGATTATACCACGAGCTCGCCCTCAACTGCACCACGCTCGACGCCCATCCTCTCCAAGACTCGGTCATACCGATCCTCATCAACCCGCTTGAGGTATCGAAGGACCTTTGCTCTTTTGTGAACGATTTGGCGAAGATGCCGACGACTCGCGATGTCCTTCTTGAACGTAATGAGGTGGTTCCACATGTTGTGGATCTCCATCGTCATAATGGCAGCTGCATGTGGCAGTCGAGGTGAGAAACGCGGAGAGGTGATGAGAACGTACGACGCACCTTGCACCTCTGGTCGCCCAGTATCATTGGGCTTCTCTGGCTCCGAGAACTCAGCCACGATGCGCCTGCGGTTCTCGAACGCGATTCCTCCAGCGTCCGCGTTCCGCAAGTCGACCAACCGCGCAAACATCAAGTTGTTCCCCGGGACCTCCCTCGAGGCATTCACCTCCGCGCTGACCAGTGTCCGCGCCTCCGTATTGTCGCCCTTGGTCTGGTTCTGCACCTGTCCCTGCACCGTCAGGTGCGGGAGCACCTCGAAGAACGCCTCCGTCTCCTTCTCCGTGAGGCCGTAGCTCATGTACTTCGGCAGCACAACCTTGCCCGTCTTCGGGTCGATCGACGGCGGGGGGCTGTTGGCGATGTCCTCCGCGGTCACGAGGATGCGGGCGAGGTCGCTGTTCTTCCACTTGGCCTCGTCGCCGGCCTTGTGCCCGAGGATGACATGGGGTCGATTCGCGCGAGCCTCGGCCTCGAGCTCGGCGCGGCGCTCGAGGGAAGCCTTGAGTGTGCGTTGTATCTTACGGGCGCGGGCCGAAGCACGGAGGGTAAGCTGGGCTTGTAGGACGGCGGAGGTGTGCAAGGAGGCGGCGCGTGCTGAGCTCGTCGACGCGACTGCGCGCGAACCTGAAATGACATGGAATGAGCACGCCATTAAAAATCACAGGGAGGCACTCACACTGGGCTATATGCGCCCCGAACATGGCGAACGGCGAGCAGGGGAGCGGGAGTGACGAGGGGATGGCATCCAGCAGCGACTGTGGGCGCCAGAAGGTCGGCTCGCATGACCGTGATCGTGTGAATGTCTTGAAGCGCCAGGGTATATAGTCTTCGCCTCCCGCGCAATTTTTATTTTCTCTCCAGAGAGAAGCCACGCTGTTCGACGCCAGATCTCCCGACCGTTGAGACAGTGCCAGAGACTCTTCGGAGTTCTGCCCTCTCGAGATCATGGCTTTGCAAAAGCAGGTTAGGAAGTGTCGTAGCTCATGTTCTCCATGTTGCGGCATGTCGACATACCCCTGTGACATCCTTTATACTCTTGTATCGTATTTAGTCTCGTATGAATTGGCATCCTTCGTCCGCCCTCACCACCAGTTCGCTGAGTGTTCAGTGTCGCAGTCGTTCGACAGATCTCGAGTGCATGTTGCAGGTACGCATTGGAGCTAAATTTCGTCCCGTTCGTTCCCAGATGCTTTCAGCGACTTCTGCGTTCCCACTTTCTGCCTGTGGACCATCTCGCTGTACTCGGCTGTAGCTTGTCGACCAACGTCGACCTGAAAGCTTTTGGGAAGCTTCAGCTTCAGAATCAGCTGCACGTGCATGACGCCCACCAAAAAATCTCGTAAGCGCCCTCAGTCCTCAGTCCTTTGCCCTCCTCCCCTTCCTTCGAAGCCTGGCTCTCAGCCATGGCGCCCTCAAAGAAAAGCCCAGCATCATCCAAGACGAAGTCATCTTCTTCCTCCACCCCCTACATCAAGAAGGTCAAGGGCGAGAACTTCTACCACAATGCGAAGACCGCGAACCGGCTAAAAATGCTTAAGGGCGGCAAGGCCGTGCGCGACAAGGACGGCAAGATCATCCAGGCCGCCGCGTTCCAGAAGGGCGAGGATGAGACGAAGCCGGGGCGTGTGCAGCCCGATCGGCGGTGGTTCGGTGCGTTCTGTGCTGCGTTCACCGAGTTTTGCGGTGGGACTGAGGGAGGGGGTAGGGAACACGAGGGTGATCTCGCAGACCGCGCTGGATCACTTTCGGACGAGTCTCGCTGCGAGGCAGAACGACCCGTACTCTGTGCTGCTGCGCAAGAATAAACTGCCCATGGCATTCATCGACGATGCGGCAAACCCGAATACTCGCAAGGTACGTCTTTCCGGTTTTCTTCTTCAGAACATCGGACGACGGTACCCCAAATCAGCGGTCGCATATCCTTGAAACGGAGACGTTCAAGGACACCTTCGGTCCTAAGGCTCAACGCAAGAAGCCGAGGATAGATGTCGGCACCTTCGAGGAGCTAGGCAAGGCAAGCGCGGCAGCTGCAGACATCAAGGAAGCTGCCGAGGATGGGGAACCAGGTGAGTTCGCTTCTCCCTTTCTCGTATCTGCTCTCATTTTGCGTAGGGGCAGAGGCTTCGACCTCCCTGGGCAATGACTTCGAAACCCACGCCGACTTCATCGAACCGATCTACGCCAAGGGCACATCTCGTCGCATATACGGAGAACTGTACAAGGTCATCGACTCTTCCGACGTGATCATTCATGTCATCGACGCGCGGGACCCTCTTGGCACCCTCTGTGAGTCGGTCTTGGAGTTCGTGAAGAAGGAGAAGGCACACAAACAGGTCGTTCTTGTCATTAATAAGTGCGACCTGGTGCCCAACTGGGTCACTGTACGTTTCGTCCCCTCCCGTCTCTCAAACGCATTCACAAATCTACGTATAGGCGCGCTACATCCAACACCTCACGCCGCGCTACCCCACCCTCGCCTTCCACGCCTCGCCAAACCATTCCTTCGGCAAAGGCTCCCTCATCCAGCTCCTCCGCCAGTTCTCGCAGCTACACTCGGACAAGAAGCAGATCTCCGTCGGCTTCATCGGCTACCCGAACGTCGGCAAGTCCTCCGTCATCAACACCCTCAAGTCCGGCAAGGTCTGCAACGTCGCCCCGTCCCAGGCGAGACCAAGGTCTGGCAGTACATCACGCTCACCAAGCGCATCTACCTCATCGACTGCCCTGGCATCGTCCCCACCTCCGCGCGCGACTCGCAGACGTCGACGGTCCTCAAGGGCGTCGTCCGCGTCGAGGCACTCGCGACGCCCTCCGAACACGTCCCCGCGCTCATGGAGCGCGTCAAGCCCGTCTACCTCGCGCGCACGTATGCGGTCCCTCTGTCCGACGCGGACGATCCGAGCCAAGGATGGGAGCCCGAGGCGTTCATGGACAAGCTCGCGCGCATGAAGGGTCGGCTGCTCAAGGGCGGGGAGCCGGACCGGGAGTCGGTCGCGAAGATCCTGCTGAGTGACTGGGTGCGGGGGCGGATCCCGTTCTTCGCGCCGCCGCCGGAGCGGTCGGACGAGCTGAACAGGGTGGAGGAGAAGAAGAAAGCGCGGGCGGCACGGGATGCGAAGGGGAAGGGGAAGGCCGCGACTAAGGAGGAGGGGCACCGGATTGGCGTCAAGCAGAACTTGGGCTCGATCATGCAGAAGAACGCGTTCGTAGGTGAGGACGTGCGGCCTATCGAGGACGAGATTGAGGGTGAGGGTGAAGTCGAAGAAGAAGTGGAGGCCGAGGGAGACGGTGAGGAAAACGATGAAGAGGGAGAGGAAGAGGGGTGCTTGGCTGGAACGATGTCTTCAAAGGTGACGACGCCGCAGCAAAGGGGGTTGAAGATGAGGACGACGATGAGGATGGGGATGAGGATGAAGATGAAGTCGAGCCGTCCAAGGGTCCTGTTCAGGCTGTGTCGGACGAGTCGTCTCAAACACAAAAGGATCGTCGTATGACGACCAACAAGGTACGTTCTCAGATCTAATCCATAGCTCCTCAGCTGACTCGTCTTGCGATCTCTAGAAAAGGGCAACAAACTTCTACACGAGTGCAAACGTGAAAAACAAGAATCGCCAGAAGGCGGCCGTCTTGAAGTCGTTGCAATCCGGCGACAAAGGTCGCAAGCGGAGACGATAGAGCACGCCTCGCATCTTGTGTTTATTCGTTGCTATATACCTTTACAATGCAATTGCTCACTGTGCGAGGTCCAGTTGGAACCCGCAGCAGTCATGTCAAGGCAAGTGGTCTCAGGAGATGTCGCTTAGGCATTGGGACGAGTGTGCGAAGTCGTCGACATCCATTTTCATATCCAACGATAAGCCTCGGCTGGCCGTGCATGCGAAACTCCACTCAGACTAGGTGTACTTACTTACATCAGAGCTTTACGCGATCGAGCAGTGCGCGGGAAACGGGTGCAATGACAGGCTTTGACAGCTTGGACGAGCGCGCACATGAGCCTCCAGCTGTCCTCCTCCCGCCCCTTTGCCGTCCTCCCTCTCCCCTTCTCCCGCTCCCAGACCCGACACGACCGTGAGAAGACCCACCAACGCGCCTCCATGCTCCCCACCACCCGCAGGGGCTTCGACAAGGGCTCGTCCCGCCCCAACCTGCTCGTCTTCTTTGCGCGACGCTACGCCGTCTTCATCCTCGTCGCCTTCGCCCTCCTCTTCCTCCTCGCGCGCATCTGGCGCGCAGCGCCTCTCGCCGCGGCTCCGCTGCCCCTTCAGCCAAACGAGAATGCGCTACTTCCGGCACCACTGCCACCGCTCTACTCTGCGTACCACTTCGACGAGCTGCGGTTGCCCCAGCATCACTGGGAGCGCAAGAAGCCCGCGCCGACAGAAAGCTTCTTCTATGTCGCCGGTCATGCGCGAGGTGCGTTTCGGCGCCGTCTTGCGAACGTGCGCGCCGTGCTCATTCTTCGCGCTTTGCTCCTGTAGGGACTGGGTGGGGCAACGGCATGGAGGAATACCTGCTGAACGCCTATATCGCGTACAAAGCCGGACGCTCGTGAGTATCATTTCTCACTTCTTGCGTCGCTCGCATGGCTTGGGCGGCGAGTGTGCGTGACCTCGTACGGGTTGGCTGGCAGTGTTGCTGCTGCGGCGTCCCCTTGCTGCGCAACTCGCCGGCAGTACGCGCTGGAAGCAAGATACGTTCCGGTGGGGCTCCGCTGTTTGGCCTGAGCACCCACAACCGATCGTGAAGCTAACCTCACCCACAGATTCGTCTTTAGCAATTATACATGGAACGCGGACGGCTCGTTGTACTCCGATTACAACGGCAAAAAGATCCCCTCCACTATTCCCTATAGTGCGATTGTCAGAGGTCGGCTCCTGGTCTTTCGCAGCTGTTCTGATGGCTTACACTTGGCTAGGTTACTTCACCGGGGACCCTCTTCCAGCAGGCAACCACGCTCCGCAGGCTGTGAGCCGAGAGTACTACCAGAAGCTTTGCCCAAAGCCTAAAGTTTACATCCGCGAAGACGTCCACGATCATATTTCCTCTGAGAACAACGCCAAGCAGATCACCGATGGCTGGGTTGCGAAACTTAAAAGCACCGAAGACCCTTGTGTCCAGACTGCCCTTGGCTCCGGTCAGCTTTTCAACTACATGTGGGTATCATGTGTCGTGACTCGTGCAACCCTGCCTGATGCGATTGCAGGGTATTTGGAGATAAGTACGCCATGCACGACATCTGGGACGAGTTCACAAGCTCTCCCATCGTCACGCACTTCCGGTGGTCGCCGCTCGTCGAGCTTGCCTACGACAACAACCGCGAGCTGTTCAAGTCCTCCGACACCGTGGAGCCCTACTATGCTTCCTTGAACACCCCGACGAACCGGGAGCGATACCCCGAGATTCCCGGCCTGCTCGCGCTTCACGTCCGCCGGGGCGACTTCGAGGAGCACTGCATCCACATCGGCAACTGGTCCTCGGACTACGTCGCGGTCAACAACCTCCCGGGGATGGCTGACCAGTTCATCGTCCCGTCGCACGAGGGCTGGGGCTGGAACACGCCCGAGAACCACGCGATCTACCGCAAGCACTGCTACCCGTCGGTAGACGAGATCGTGCAGCGGGTGCGGGAGGTGCGGCGCACGCCGGCGGGCAAGGGCCTCCGGCGCGCGTTCATCATGACGAACGGGAGCCCGGAGTACGTCATGGAGCTCAAGCTCGCGCTCTGGCACGACGGCGACTGGGAGCTCATCACCAGCTCGCGCGACCTTGTGCTCAACTGGGAGCAGAAGTACATCGCGCAAGCGGTGGACATGTTGGTCGGGCAGCGGGCGCAGGTGCTCATTGGCAACGGGGTGCGTGTTCTTTTCTCCTGTTCTTTCTGGCGTGGCTGGGGAGCGTCGGCGCTGACTCGTCGCGGTTGCTGGCAGTTCTCGACAATGACGTCCAACATGGTGATGATGCGGATGGTGAACGGGTTCCCGGTGGAGAGCACCCGGTTCTTCTGATTTCTGGTTGTCACCCTCTCAACTCCTCCGGCCGCCCTGTAAGCCTTCTAGAGGCAGGACGTCGCGACTACCGGCGTCGCAAAAGCCGTAAATCCTAAACTCGACTCGCCCATCCCGCCACGCGCCGGCACTGGCGCCCCCCGCACAGCCCCGCCATCCCTCGGTCTCCCGACGACCAACTCCTGTCAACCACTACCCACGTCCAAAATACGTACCGTTTAATCGCGCAGGGCGCACCGCTCGCGAATGGAGCGACACTAATGCCGCCGACGGGACCATAATCCTTGGTTATACATGTACGCCTAGCCTTTAACGCTCTGTATCGCAGTTTTTTTTTCGAATCTAGTAATACTGGTACTGTCCGCCCAAGCTGGCCGTCGAAGCCTGCACGGCCGCGCACACCACGACTTTCCTTCGTGCCCGAGCACCGAACCTTGAGCCTCGTCGGCTTCCCCGCGCGATCCACCAGAAGCGCGTGAAGGACAGACAGGTTTATTTTGGACCTTGAGGACCATGGTGCCCCGCCTCGGGCCGCGAACCCGCGCGCATCGCCCTGAGGCAATTGTGCGGCCACCGGCCGGCGGCGACGTGCTCGAGCGCGCGACCGAAGCGACTGTGGTCTGTGGTCACTACGTAACCATAATCATGATCATGGGCCCACCACGCGACACCGCCCCGCGACGCTTTCTGTCGTATACGCTCGCGTCGAGGCGTCGGCGCCGGGCTTCCACCGACGCGCGCGCGGTACACAGCCGGCGCCCGTGCTAATGTTGCGCACCGCTCGCCCTCGACATCGCAGAGTGAGCGTACGCACTGTACCGGCCGGCGATCCGATCAACTGGCAGAAGTTGCCGCTGTCTCCGCAAAGCCCGCGGGCGGAGCAGTGGGCGTGGGCGAAGGGCCGGCGGGACGCGAGCCCTCCCGACCGTTGTACTTGAACTTACGGCTCGCGCACACCCTCGTGGTGGTGGGTAAGTATAGCACGATCGGACACGGATATGGGGCTCTCTGCGACCGGAACACCGTTTCGCGGGAAGGAGGCCGCGGTCGCGACCGTGCGCTGTGGGCGCGCATTAGGGGTCGGAGATCTGCTCGAAGCGGTAGGAAGTGGGGCGCGCGTGTGTGTGCGGGATCTTCTGGGCCGCTTGCAGTGTGCTCGAATGCCGCGCGGTGGCCCCGGGGGATGGGACGCGCGTCGCGCGGGTGCGATTGGGTGGGCGTCGGGACCGTTGTACTTGCGCTGAGGGACGCTGTTCTGGACTCTAAATTTGAAAAACGGGTGTGTGTGTGCGTGTGCGCGTGTGCGCTTCGCGGGTATCGCTGACTTGTGGTAACCTACGGGTGGGTCCAGATGCACGCACGGTCGGTGCATTTCGCCGCCGCGCACCCTGGACGCACGGTCGATGAGGTGTTGATCGGCCGCCAGAATCGGGGCACATAGATAACGCTGCAACAAGCTGGGACTTTCACAGTGTGTGATAACGACGAGGAAGCAATACATCGGGCGGTAAATCGAAGCCACCACACAGTGGGGCTGGGACTGGGACGATAGCACTTAGCAGAGAGCATGCAAAAACACAGCGCGAAATGACACAGGCGTAGGGCTCGGGTCGCGTTGAGAGCATTAGGATGGGAGGGGGGAGGGGAGAAAGCAGGGCGGCGTGATAGCGAGAGGACGAAGAGCAGAGAGAGATAAGAGCGGTATGGGAGCATTCGAGGGTTTGACGTGCATTGAAAGTGCTAGGATGGAAAGTGATAGCAATACGGGAGAGCAGCGATGATTGTGATAGGGCAAGGAGACAGAGCGTGGTGTGTGGAAGGATGGCGAAGAAAGCTGGGGGGATAACTAGGTGCGAGGGGAGACAAGATCAAGATGCCGAAGCCGGCGCGAATGGGGATACCGGGGGATACGAAGGGTAGCCTTTGTACACAGTCGCGGGGTGAGGGGGGCCAGGGGGAGGTGGCAAAGAGGTCGGTGTGTTCGGTGGGGCACCATGTGGGATATCAAGTTTGAATTTGCCCATGAGGCAGTTGCTGCCCTCCCGCCGGAACTCCTTCTTGTTCCATCCCGGGAATTGCCACTTCCAGTCATGGCCCAAAGGAAAGCTGAGGAAATACTCGGCCTCCTCCGGATGGGCGAGGAAATATTTGTCTGCCCAACTGTACTCTGAATGGGCGAACCGAGGGTCGTCGGGGAACTCCCGACGCTGGCGCTCCTTGTATAGCCAGCTGTCGAGGATGAGGGGGGTGATCTCCATCGCCGCGAACGGTTTGAGGTTGACTTTGTCCCATATGTCGGCGGTGGCATTAATGATATGCGTGCCTTTGAAGTTGTCTTCGCCGGTACAAAGGAAGATCTCTTGGTAAAGTCTGTGGCGTTCCGTGTGTGTCTTGTGGTTGTCCTCTCGAAGCGAGACCTTATCGCAGAAGGGCATGGAACAAACGGGTGCTGTAGTTTCATCGGTCGACCACTTCAGATTCCAGTTTACATCTAATGGAGATGGCGTACCTCGAAAGGGATCGGGAGCGGCATGCAGTGACTCCATATGACGAAAGAGATGCGCCCTCTTGGTGAATGCCTTCGAGCACTCTTCTACTGGGCAAACAAATCGTCTGCCAATCGCCGCATCTGATCCTTGCACAGGGACCTTTCGCCCTCGCGCGACCTTATTCCGATCTAGATTCGGAGTAGGTAGCTCGCGAACGAGGTCGTACACACCTTCGGGGTCGTCAGGAACCTTCTTCTCCCCATCGGGATTGATGCAGTAGAGTTTACGCCCGGTGAGCCGCGAAGCCACCTTGCCGTAATGGTAGACCTCGAGGTCCTCAGGGTTGTGACCGTGGTCTGGGATTTTTTGGATGTACGGACGAGGACCGGGGGGCGTTTTGGCACGTGGCGGATCGATGGCGTACGCCTCGACGGGGTGATCTTCCTTCACGGTCTTGTCTTCTGGGGTGCGCCGCGGCATCCACGGACGGGCGACGAACGAGACAGGCTTCTCGAGGAAGGGACGGGTGATGTCGCCGCCGCCCTACACCGCGAACGAGCGATCTGGGTTAGTTGGGCCGTGGGCGGAACTCGGGATCAGATCACCCACCCAGAGGTCTTCGCGCCGCGGACCTGGGTACTGCACGAAGCGGGGGAGGTTGTGTTCAGGCATGTCAGATAAGGCTTGCGCCCGCAGGGAACGGGCTCGCCAGCGAAGTGTGAGTGTGGGCGGAAATTGAATATGCGTGGGCAGATGGCAGTGCCAACTACTACCAAGTCACCAGGATCGGGAAATGGAAGGGAGTCTGTATGACGAAGGCCGTGAGTATGGCAATCTGTCGTCACCACCAATGTCTGCTGAAAGGCGCACTCACCAGCACTGTGTCCCTGCCACCACGCGCGGCGGGGCAAGCAGATGGTGGCGAGAGGGCAAGAGAGACCCCCGGCGCGCGTCGGGAAGACGAACCCTGTGATTACCTAATCGCCATTCCCCCGATGGCGGAGCGCTCCACAACAAGCGCCATGCTCTCTTGGACCACGACTCCCATCTCGCTCTGACTGCCAGCCTTGGGCGAGCGCACCTTCTAGCCTGACTCACAGCGTACTCCAACAGTCCTGTGCTCAAGCCATTTTTCCACGTGCAAAAATCACACCATCGACTGCGGACGGTGCCGGCACAGCGAGGCCAAATATATACCTGCCACCGTCACGGAGTCCGAAGCGTCAACTTGTGTTGGAAGATGAGGGCGGCGAATACGGGATTGAGCATAGATCAGGCCTCAGGGTTGGCGCGACCTTTCCCCGCCGATTGCACTTTAACGATTTCGGGAGTTGTCCCTGCAGGGCCTAGCTGCGGATAAGACTCGCACAGTGCGCAAGAACGAGTGATCCAGGCTTAGAAGCACGCATACATCAGAGTTTGTGCTCGTATGCGGTCCTTGCGGTGCGTTTCTCATCTCAGTAAGCTTCGTGCGTCAGAGCTAATTAGCCGGGCGGTATTCCAGGAAGTGATGCCGCCGGATTACATACTCGCATTTTTTTCACCACGCTGCCACAGACTAGCCCAGACGATCCATCAAGACGACCATGTAATCAAGTACGTGGCTAGCACATTGAAATATTCCGCAGGACAGTGAAGTAATCCTTGTAGGCCCCAGTGACCACGTAAGCATGCACGTACATCCGAGACGTTTCCATGGCGGTCAGTAGAGTCTGACGTCACCATGGGCTCACTGGCGGGTGAACCGGCCATCCGGGCCGGCCGGCGACTTGTCACCGTCCAGCAGGAAGGCTCATCGGACTGGTTCTCTTCCCTTCCCACCTCTATAACCGAACCATTGTCGCGATCTGATTAGCCCAAGCGACGCAGCCAACGTTTATCGACCGTGCACATCCACGTTGTGTCTATCTCTCTCGCACATAGCTGCTTTCACGTCGATCTACGCCTGCCATCCGCCGAACGATCGCCCAACCTCGACTCCTCGGATGTCGATCCGCAACAGCCCGCGATGGTTTCCGCTGAACCCGCAGGCGCGCCTGGACCTCCAGCCAAAGGTTCCGCGCGTCCGGGCTCGGGGGCACTGTGCCTCGTGGGTGCATGCACGCGAAAGAGGCGAGTTTCACGGACCGGACCTGCGATGGGATCTCACATACCCATCCGAAGCCACGCTCATCTGCTTGATTCATGTGTCGACGACGACGATGTCCGGGCGTACCGCTCTCTGCGCTCGCCTGCACAACGGCTGCGAGCACGCGGCAATCGGGCTCTCAACCGACTTGGCCAATCCGAGGTGACCTGCGTGTCCAGCGCGCGGCCCGGCAGGGTCCGACGCGCTCATATAGCAGGCTGAACGTTCGCGGGGCAGCCCATGCTCTCTCGCTCCCGACACTGGCCCCACCACGTGGCCGATTACCCTGGGGCGCATGGGGCGTGTATGCGGTATGTGTTTCAAACAAACACCCTTCCAGGGTCTGACGCGCCAAAATGGGCAAACCCAGGTCTTGAGCGCATCGATCATGCCTTCTCAGCCGTCGAGGTATCTGCACACTTCCATGTAGCCCAAGGCTCGAGAAGGGAGCTCAGGCCGTCCTGGGCCCGGTCTTACCGTTGGATTGGTTTCTCACACACGAGGTGGGCGTCGCCTAGCTTACGTCTAGTATCCTGCACACCCTGATGATTGGTTAGATCCCTACTTCGACCCCACTACCTTCGTGCCCGGCGCGGCCTGCACCATGATCGCGCGCGCATTCCGGTGCATCGTGCATCAAGTACCTGTACAGTACCGCCATACCCGTCACGCCTCGCCCTTGCATATCCACAACGCTCGAAGCTTCGAGGCCGCCTTCGGACGCCTTGCCGGTCCCAGAACCCAGGACCTACCCTCAATGCACGATCCTAGCAGGAACCATACCAGTGCCTCACCGGACTGCGAGCATCGGAGTACGCGCGAACCGACTCTGGGGCCCTTACGGCACGGTGTGCCCGGCGCAGATCCGTGCCTCGATCTCGCGCACGAACCTTGCCGTCAGCGCTCGCACGCCCGCGACACTAGCATGTGCGCACAAGCGCCCGATTGCGCTCGCGATCGCGCCTCCAGGCTGCATGCGACTCCGAGGTTGTGCCGCTGTGCCTTCCAGCACTGGGAGGTGTGTTCTACTTGCCCCCGACCCTGCTCTCTGTCTTCGACCGGGCGTCTGACGCTTCCTGTCCTTCGCATGTCAGACCGCTCGGGACCGCACCTCGCGCGAATCTGGAAGGGCCGGGCAGGATTCAGAACTCATTGGAGCGCGGACCCGGGATCGGCAGCGGGCCCGTACGCACCCTCATGTTCTCGTCACTGCAGCAGCAGCGCAGGCGGCGTTCCGAAACCTCCTCGTCTTCCCTCACCCTCCGCGCTCGCGCGCTGCTGTTGTCGCCGCTCTGCGTATCTGCTACCATCAACATCGCTGCAACCAGCGCGCCCGCGACGGAAAAGACAACAGCGGTTTCGCTCACACACACACGTCCCGCCGCAGTCTCGAGGGTCCTACGACCGCAGCCTCGGCCACACTCGACTCCAGACCCCCCCCCCCCCCCCGCTCCCGACGTCTTCTCGCCGTCTCGGGCGTCACTACGGTTCCACGGCTCCCGCACGTCGGCGCCCCAAACCAAGCGCAAGCTCAGGCGTGTCCCCGCGTCCGAAGCGCGCACAACCGCCGCCGCCGGGCCCGAGAGGTCCTGTCGGACAAACCTCCGCCGGCGGCCCCGTCAACGCTCCCAGATCGCGTCGAGGACCCACAATCGCGGACCCACTTATCCCTCGGCAGCTGCGCGCGCGCGTCTGCGCTTTGAAGTTTGCCCTTCTGATTCTGAACTCTCTGTCCCGCGTGTGCGCCCGATCGCTCAGGCGCGGGGTCAGGCGCGGGCCCGGCTGTAGCTCGGACTGGTTGTGGCCACTGGCCAGCGTGGGCGGGCGGCGGGGGCGTTAGCTCACGCTTCCGTTGGGCTGGGCTGGGCTGGCTGGGCCGCTAGCGCGGAGTGCGAGGCGCGGGGTGCGGGGTGCGTGGGATGCGTTCATGGTCTTGGTTCGGCTTCTAGCCTGAAGATGAGGGATGGGCGCGGCTGGTTCGGGACACGAGACGGACGTGGAGGACGGTAGGAACATACCACGACAACCTGAAGCCGCGGCTTCCCCACGTCGTCACTCACCATCTCTCACACTCTCTGGTCCGCCGCAGTGATCCGGCCGCGCCCGGCACATCTCTCAACACCCCGTTCCCTTCGGACAGAACCGCATGTGGTCTACACGCTTACCATAGGGCTTTGACGAGGAAGACGAAAAGGAAATTTCTCAAAAGCTCGGGGAAGAGGCGTCTGCCGACTTGACGCGGGCTTGCGGGAGTGGCACAGTGCGATCGACAGCCAAAGGAAGCAGCGCCAAGGCTGCGTAACAGCCGTACGAATGCAAGGACGCATTGTCCCGCTGAAGGGCCATC